ACTAAACTTGGTGAAATCCTGGTAAATCTGTTGGGTGCAGGAGTCTAATACGAAAACCCAGGAGGTACTTAAGACCTGTGATCTGCTGAAGACCTTTATGTCTCCGTGCTATGGTATCTTAAGGCCCTTTGGTTTATTACGACCTCTGTTAAGCTGTATAATGTTCCTCTGCGTGAGAACCTCCCTCTGTTTCACATGCAACAACTCCAGAAAAAGCATATGTTAAAACACCTGGTCACTTTCAATGTTGCCGGCTGTGAAATTGAATGAACACACTATTGCAGCCAAAATTTGTCAGATTTCAGGGAGGTAGGTGGAAGGCATGATCAGAGAAATACCAAATGCTGGGAGAGTTACCTGTAGAGTATCAGCAAATTATAACAATTGTCAGGAATTGCTTAGTTTGTTTTTTAGTTCCTCATGCTATTAAAGTTGTGTTTCTGTGGGATTTTTTTTAAAGTATCCTTTGCATAAAGCATCACTATAGATACGTATATTTGTTTGGGTTTGTCAGCAGTAATTGACAGATAATTCCTGCAAAACTTTTATGGGCACAGTAAAGCAGTAAATACAATTTATCTCTTCTTGTCTGGTATTGAAAGCAGCAATGAACTAACTGCATTTAAAAATAAAATCAGCAAGCTCTTTAAAGAAAAGGACAGTTGAAAGTGTCTAGAACTGAATGTGATGTTATGATTAACTATCATGGTATTGATCATCATTAATATTTTCTCTTAGCAGAATTATCTTCACTGAAGAAATTTGATGAAATTAAGAAGGCTAACCAGGCTGCAGCAAAAAAGCTAGTTGAAGACCAATTAAGCTCCTCATCTGAAGAAGATGATGAAGATGCTGAAGTGAAACAAGGAAAGATTTTGGACAAAACATTTACCATCTACACCAGTCAAACTGGTAATTATTTTTTTTCATTTATTGACTTTCATTTTGATATGAAAGCATAAACAATGCTCTCTCATGGTCTATGTATTGGAATTTTTCTGCAGTTGAAGGGAAAGCACTCTATTCTGTTGTCTTGTATTAAAAATATTTGTTTCCAGCAATGCATGCTGGCAGTGCTTGTCTTTTTGTGCAGAAGCAATGGCATAGTTTTAAACTGTCTTAAATGTGGTTTTATAATAATATATGACTGGCCTTTATTCAGGGAAAAAGAAATATTTTTGCAGCAATGTCAACATTACAAAATAGCCGGTCAAACATTACTGATTGCTTTAAAAATCTTTATGCATTAAAGATGGAGATGCAAGTGAACTGGAACGTACGAGGCAGTACATGAATGAAGCTTTTCAGTCAGGGGCTATGACATGTCTCATCTGCATTGCTTCAGTTAAAAGGAACCAGGCTGTAAGTATTTTACAGTAATCTTTTAGAATAAAGCAAATATAACTGTCAGAATGACTTGTTTAATGTTATTATTGAGGTAATTCTTGGGATTGATAGCTTTAAAATGGTAAGAGTACTAAACACAACATTAGGCGTCTTTGGATTTTGAAACACTTGACTACATATGTGCTTATATATGTAGCTTGTAATAAGAATATGGGTTTTTTTTGACATATCATAGGATCATCAAGGTTGCAGGAGACCTCTAAGATCATCAAGTCAAACCATTAGATGCCACTCTGCTCTTACCCCTAAGCTGTAAACCATATCCTCCAGTGCCAGATCCAGATGCCTCTTAAACACTTCCAGGGATGGTGACTCCACCACTTCCCTGGGCAACCTATTCCAGTGCCTGAACACCCTAACAATGAAAAATGTTTTCCTAACATCTAATCTGAATCTCCCCTGTCTCAGTTTATGACCTTCTCCTCTAGTCCTCTCACTGCAGACATGGCAGAAGAGACCATTCCCCACCTCTCTGCAACCCCCTTTCAGATAGTTGTGGAGAGTGATGAGGTCACCCCTGAACTGCTTCTTCTCAAGGCTGAACAAACCCAATTGCCTCAGCTGTTCCTCATATGACATGTGTTCTAGAACCGTGTGGATTTTCCAGCTTTGCTAGGCCAAGCTGTGACTGAATAGAGATAAGTTGGGAATAGGCCTACTTTGGGCATCAGTTTGTGCTACATGATCCTCAGCAGTGTGTTTAAATCAACACTTCTGTGATTATCAGAGTATTTCAGGCTCTGTAAGTATTGGAAAAGACTTCCCACAGGAGCTGGAAAAAAGATTAAAGGTATGAATCTGTAACAGTTAAACTGCTTGTATTAATCTAACAACAGGTGTAACTAGCTTTGAAAACCCATTAGCAAGTACAAATACAAACGCTCTGAAACCCAAGTAGCAGACTTGTGTTTGTTTGTATATGATAAATGTTCATTGATGGAAAAAGAAAGGAACCTAATGTAAAGCAATTGATGCTTATGTTTTCCTTTAGGTCTGGAGCTGCTGCGGATGCTTTTGTATATTTCACCTGGTGTGTATCCAGAAGTGGGCGAGGGACAGCCTTTTCCTTGTGTCTTCTCCTTTGACAGATGATGATTTTGGGAAGAAAGATCATCCCTGGCCATGGTGAGCTCCTCGTGGTACATTTACCAAGTTTTATTGTGAAACATAAGTGAACTGGTGTTATTTTAGAAAGGAATGGTACTTGTAAATGACATGCACGCACACACACACATAAAAGAGTTTAGAAGACTGACTTTGATGTTGCTGTTTTGAATTATTTTAAAGTTTTTATTAACATGACCCAGAAATTATTTCAGAGTGATATTAAAAACTTTGGTTTAACCTCTAAGAAGGTAACTTACTGTGTGTCTCAGCTTCTAATATCTGTTTCTGAATGGCTTTACATATTTGTCACTTTTAAAGTTGGCACCATGAAATAAGTAAGAGAATAAAAAAATTCTCTGTATAATTCAAGCATTAAAGCCAGTCTTGCAGTTTTACTTGAGATTGTATAAAGATTAAGGTAATATTGTGGCTGCATGAATAAATTTCTTAAGGAGATTTGCTTAGGAAAAACAGACTTAGGAAGAAAACAGCTTTTAGGAAGAATGGGCTTTTGCCTGTTCTACTATAAACTAGGTTTGTGTTTAACCTTAGTGTTTATAATGAAAAAAATTCAGGGCACGTGGTATTTTATCTTACATTTGAGTACATGATGAAGCTGTGCACTCACTATTGAGAAATGCTTTATGATTTGTAATGTATTATATAAGGGCAAGTGGATGGTTTATTTGATAAAAAGGTGTGCACAGGTCTTTCAAAGTCCCAGTTCCTCTCTGAGGAGGAGCTCCTTGTCTGTTGTCTTTTGCCAGAGTAGCCAGAAATGTGAACTGGTTTGTTTCTCCTGCCTTGTGTTGCCTCATTCATCCAGGGCTTGCACCCAGAATTCTGTAGAGCCTGTGGCACTTACAAGTTCCAGACCTTTAGTGCCTATCTGCTTTTAGCAATAATGTATTTTTAAATTTCTGTCAACTTAAGGGTAACAAATAAAGGTGTGCATTTTTAATGTAAAATCTTTCAGCTAAAATTCTATTATTATACATAATTTTAATAGTATTGCTAAACTTTGTTTTATATGGCTTATAAATTGCTACTAGTAAATCCTTGGGTTTTAAACCCTTTTTAAAAAATTGGGTATATTTAGTGTGGGTTAACTCTTTGTTGTATACATGCTTTGGGTATTGCTTGACATAAAAATTATTCTGATGCTTGCTGAATTTTTGTTTATATATATTCTTAGATACAAGAGATTGCAGTGACAAGACAATTTCTTAGACATTTTAATGTATGCATCATAAAATCAAAATGATAAAACCTGCTTTTTCTTTCTAAAAAAATTTTAATAAAACTTGCTTTTCTTTTCACTCCTTTTTCCCTTGTTGTAGTCCAAAATGTAGATTTGAATACAAACGCTCTGAAACTCCCAGTAGGTATTACTGTTACTGTGGAAAAGTGGAGAATCCAACACTGGACCCATGGCTGGTACCTCACTCCTGTGGTCAGATATGCGAGAGGGAATTCAAACCTCCTTGTGGTCATAAATGTTTGCTGCTTTGTCATCCAGGTAAATCCATTGCATCTCTTGGTTGTGTCACCTGTATTTAGGTAGCTCTTCCACAGTTTTACTTAAAATCTGTTACGTATATTTAAAATTCTCATTGTAAAATAGATGTAGTCAAGTCTGCATTTGCTGAATAGCCATTAGCAAAATCTTGTTTTTCCTGTACTTAGGACCTTGTCCACCTTGCCCAAAGATGGTCACAACAACCTGTCACTGTAAGAAAGCTAAACCAGTGCCCAGAAGGTGCAGTGCCAAGGAGTGGTCCTGTCGCCTGCCCTGTGGACGAACGTTGCTGTGCGGACAACACACGTGTGAGAATGCCTGTCACGCAGGTAGACCTGCCTTCTTTAACTTCAGAGGAGTAGTAGTTTCAATTGTTAATATATGCCATCCTTCTGTAATTCCTACTCTCAATGTCACTTTGCAATTAATGCAGGAGATTGCCAGCCTTGTCCACGAGTCAGTAAACAGCGGTGTGTCTGTGGAAGGCAGACAGCAGAAAGACTTTGTGCGAGTCCTCAGTGGCAGTGCGATCAGGTGTGTGGAAACTATCCTTCATCACAAATTTCTTATCTTATAAAATTTGATGACTCGGTGTATTCAGGATTGGAAAAACTCATTCAGTAAGAAAATGATTTTATTTTATAAGTTTCGAAAGTGTAATCAAAAATATAAGCAGCAGTGTTTGAGAACAGATTTACTTGGTGGCCCAGTTCATTTCTACCAGTTAAAATGTCACTGTTCTAGAACTGTTCTAAAAGTAAGTTAGCAGTGAATTTGACTTTGTATATTCTGTCATCTTGTACTTGAGGTTGAAATTTCAGCTGTTGCCTTCAAAAATAATGAAACTGCAGCTTAGGAGATAAGAGTTTAATGCTAATTTACTTTTAGTGGCATGTGCAGCACGATGTAGGCCTTGAAGGCTAAGCACAGCACAGACCTGTTATCTGAACCACTAACTCCTCAGTATACAGTGGTCTTCCAGTGAGGATTACTGCAGGGGTGATCAGTTTTATTTGATGAACTCAGTAAATATAAGATTTGTTAGCAAAACTGAGAAAAAGTTAAGTTTTGTCCGGATGTGTCTCACCCCTGCTTTTCCTCCTTGGGTCGCTTTGTCTTGATATGTGCTTCTATTACATTGTGTTCACTTGCTTTCTGTGTGTTTCCCAGGTGTGTGGGAAACATTTGCCGTGTGGTAATCACACATGTGAGCGAGTTTGTCATGCTGGTCCCTGTGGAGACTGTCCTCGTTCTGGGAAAAGGTCCTGTCCTTGTGGAAAAACAAGTGAGTTGCTTTTTCTTTTCCAAATGATAAATTGAAAAAAAAGTAATCCAGTCCTTTGTCAGTCTAGGTTGTTTCTGCAGGGCAGGGTCCATTAAAAGTTCTTATGTTCAACTGTGACAGTGTATTTTGCATAGCTTTCAAAGCTTTATTTAGGACCTGGAATTTAATTAGCAATGTGAATCACTGAGTAATTCTAGAGAAACTCCTCAAAGATGAGAGAGAATTGGCATTTGAACTCATTACATGGTGCATTTTTTTCCTAAATGTTTTGACTTTTTTTTTTCTGTCTCTTTGTGTAGAGTTTACATTGCCTTGTACAGAAGATGTGCCCACCTGTGGTGATAGTTGTGACAAAGTTCTGGAATGTGGCATCCATAAGTGTTCACAGCGCTGTCATCGAGGTCCCTGTGAGATATGCAGACAGGTTAGTCTTACTGTACCATGTTCACATTTTGTTAGGGTTTTTAAACTATATGCCTGGAACAGTGCAAGTCTTCTAACGAAAATGAAGTCATATCTATCACAAAATCTATGACTTTGTTTATTAAAAGCAACACATTCTTCTGCTAATCCTCTCCCACCCCAACACAATTCTGACTAAATAGTTGAACATTATGTATCTGAGTTGATGAGTGTTTTATTGTTTTGGCTTGTTTTTACTTTGTTTTGGGTTGGTTGTCTTTAAATGAGTTATGCCCTAAAAGGTACTTAATTTTTTCCCCAGCTTTTCTAGATTCCTTGTGGCTTTGTCTTATTAAGGTATGAAATGAAAGGTGCTGTAACAATGGTTTTTTTTTCTTGTTTGTAAGAAAATGTTTTGCTCTGCTCTAAGTATCTATGGAGCTTCTGTGGTCTGGTCTGTAAAGCCATTGTTCTCTCTGATCTCAGTTGGCTCTTCCTGAACCAGCTTTGGCTACAAAGTCTATGGTGAAAGTAGTTAGCACACAATAGTCAGGATTAAGGTCAGATAAACCTGCTTGCCTACGTAAATTATCTGTGTACACCATGGATAAACCTAGTTTACTGTGCAGGAGAGGTACTTCTTTCTATGAATTTGTTCTGCATTTACACTCCTATGGTTCCTTTGAAGTGGCTTCCCTGGGGGTGAGACCAAGGCTACACTGTGGTACCATCTCAAGCACAGTGTTTGCAATCCCAACTCAAGGTCCTGAGTAGCTATTGCACGGATAGGTAATCTCCTCAGAGCACGTGATATGCTTCCTGTTATGATAGAGCGACGTAATGTTACTTTTCCTTGAACATTTTTTTATAGATGGTAGTAGAACTTTTCAAATAAAACTTACCCTGCTTTTTTTTGCCTGTGTTGCTGCCCAGGAGGTGGAAAAACAGTGTCGCTGTGGGAAGCACACCAAACGTATGCCATGTCATAAGCCATATCTGTGTGAAACCAAGTGTACTAAAATTCGTGACTGCCAGAAGCACCAGTGTCGGAGAAAGGTGGGTGCCCAGAGGTGATCTTTCTCAAATGTTTTGATTTGATAACTTTTTTAAAAATGTAGATATAATATTTTATACTGTATAAACATCGCATCAATTTGTTCCTCCATCTCATGTTATTGTATGGAAAGAGGAGTTTTCTTCAGTGTCATTCAAATTAGTTTTCAGTGTACCAGAGTTCTCTGAGCAGCATGTCACGAAGAAAAACTCAATGACCTTAAAAACTGGGAGGGGATTTTGACAGCTCTCCAGTTCCAGGAGGCAATTTTACTTTCAGATTCTTGAGTAGTTCCCGATGTTTTATACATTCTGCAGTAGTTAAATCCATTTATTTCCTTCCTTTATAGGAAGAGCTGGGAGTCTCTCATAACTTTGTAAGGGACATCCTTTTATTTTTGGCAGGCCAGCATTCCATCCCACTTTCTAATAGGCACCAATGCAAGCAGCAGTGGTCTGATAGTTGGGAATTGGAGTTTCATTTCCCTTCTCATTTGAAGTCAAAGGAATAATTGATACTCAGAACTATCTTCGTTCAATTTATTCATTCAAGAGGGCCTGAAAGTTGAGTTAATCCAAATAGGCATGAAAAATAACAGCTTCATTCTTAGGTGGTTTTTGAATATTATTGTTAAAGTGTATTTACTTTATGGGAAAAAATTACAAGATGAGTAAACGCAATCTTGACATCTTTATCACAAAAAAGTGCAGGATTCCTGTTGGAAGGGAAGGTACCTTTTGAGTTAAGAGAACAGATGAAGTTCTCCCCTGACCTGGCATCCACCAGTGTGGTGGTGGTATGATGTGTTCTGATTCTTTCACATAACTATTTTATGTGAGAATAGAAAGTAGATAACTGATCCTAAAGTTACCTGACCTTTACTATAAAGGTAAAAGGTGTTAAAGTGGTTTGCAACCTTTTTATGCCCAGAACAATACAGCATAAAGTGAAAGAAATTGCAGTGCAATGAGGCAAACTGTTAGATAACCTCTGTGTGGTCTTCTGAAATTATTTGGCATAAAATGTTACAAGAATTTGAACTTCTAAATGTTCTTATGCTTTTTTGAAGCCCTCTGCCTTTCTAGTGTGTTCAAATGATGCTTTCAAATGGGTGTTTTCTTGTTATTTTATAATTTGATTTTGTTTTAAAACCACTTTACAGGTGGCTTCCTTTCTGGCATGAATTTGAGGAAACTTGACTAAAGTGCATTGAAGTTGTTTTAATAAGTATTGAAAAAAATTAGGTAGTAGAGGAGGGAAAACTTGTACCAGAAATTACTGTGTTCAATTATGTAGAGTTGTTTGTTTTTTGTTTTTTTTTATAGTGCTGTTCTGGAAACTGTCCACCTTGTGATCAAGTCTGTGGGCGTACTCTAGGCTGCAGAAATCACAAATGTCCTTCAGGCTGCCACAGAGGTAAGAACAGGTGAAAAATCCGTGTAGGGATGGAATACTGGTTATTTTTGCCAAATTTCATGCTTGCATGACTCTGTGTGGTGCTTAATGAGCTCTCTCCCTTGTTGCATGTGGGCTTTTTGTGTGGGCAGTGTGTTTGACAGTGCTGATTAGAACTTAAGACTTAAATAGTGACAACCTGAGTTTTTACCTGATAATTTTGCTTAACACTGTTCCTCTGAAGATGCTTTGTCTCCTTTCCAGCTGTGTAATTCAAAAGCCATGGCTTTTTTTGCTGTTCTAAATAATTCTCTTCACTGAATATGCATAACAGAGTCCAAATAAATACAGAAGTGACTGTGGCTGGTTGAGTCTAGATGGATTTTAAAAATCCTAGAATACAACATGTGGTATAACTGGGCTTAAAATTTAAAAAAAAATATGGTGGAATTTGAGTTGGTGTATTGGTATCTTACTGGTGAAAGAAAATAAGTTTTTACCCTCCACATAGTAACAAAAAAGTTTACTTCTGCATCCAATGACCTTGGTTAAAAAGATGCTGGAAATGGATAAAATTACCTGGCAGTTTTATCCTGGCCAATTTCTTTGATCTTTGCTTGGTAGGGAATTAAATTGGAATGACTGAAAAATTGTCTGCCCTCAGCAATTTTCCCCACAGAAGCTGCTGCCCTGCTGAAACAGCAGCTGAGTGGCCCATGTAATTTCCCTTAGTATTCTGCACTATAAATTGCAACAGTTCAGGAAATAATTCACAACTTGTTCAGCCAGTATTCCTTCTGAGGCAGTGACTCTTAAGAGGAGAGGACAGGTAAGTGTGGTACTGTCCCAGTTAACTTGCTATTAAATTCATCACCACAAGCTAGTGGTTTGTTTTTTTCTCTGTAAACTGTGCCCCTTTTCTTTTTCCCCTGCCTTTCTTCTCTCTCTCTTGTACCTCTCCAAAATTCTGGAAATACATAAATTTTTATGTACTCTTGGAAGGCAACTGGTAACACTTGTTTTTCTGCATTAGTTTGGTTGATGACTAAATTACAGAATAAAAGTCTGGTTGGAAAACTAAGGAGCTAATGCTGCCTTGTAGCATAAGCTTTTACATTGAATGACTGTTTATATTTGATGCACCTTGCATCTTACAGCCTGGCTAAAAGTGGCAAAGATTTTAATGACTAGCATGAAAACAACAAGGCAATGTCTATAGGAAAACAAGTGATATTTGAGAATGTAGATGTCAAATATATGCACTTTGCAGTGTAGTTTGTCAAAACATTACAGTTGCCTATTTAAGTACTAACTAAAGTTGCATATAATGAAGGTAATAACTATGATGTCAGATGATAAACTTATTTTCTAACTTCTCTGTGCCTCAATAAAATACAATTGGTACAGTTTGCAATATCTTGATGTATATTTAAGAATACACCTAATAAAGGCAATTATTTTTGTTTCAAAGTATTTATAGTTATATGGTTCTCCTTATACACCAATATTTTAATAGCTACTAAAAGTTACGATTAATGATTTTATCTTTAGTATGTAATACCAGATCAGGTTAATTTTGTAATGAGCTGCCAGATCTCAGTGATCACTGTTTTTAAGGGAAAATAAATTCCCAGATGGGATCCTTTAAAAGGTACCCAAATCTTAGAATTATTAGAGGTTGCTGATAATAAGCACTTGGCCTTGTGTGGGTGTCCCTGAAAAAAGTAACTGTTGTTGCCTAACTGTATTCTGTTGTGGTTTGATTTTTTTTTTTTTTTATTAATATATTTTTTTCTTAAATGTATATCATGCTTGTTGAAATTTTAGAATGTGTTACCAGGAAATAGAATGTTTTGTTTCCTGCTGTAGTATATTATAACACTTGATTCGAGAACACTGTGCTTTCCTCTTAACTTTAGGCTTGTAAATGACCTCTGCCCGTACGTATTTTTGAGAATGTAGGTAGTTGTCTTCATTAATAGAATATTTTGTAAATTATACATGTATTAACCACACTGGGCAGCATAGCTTCAAACCTTTAGTTTATTTTGTAAAAGTAGCTGGACAAGCTGGAGCAGTGGGCCCATGGGAATCTCATGTGGTTTAACAATACCAGGTGCAAGGTCAGGGCAACCCCTGGTATCAGTACAGGCTGAGAGATGAACAGATGGAGAGCAGCCCTGCTGAGAAGGATTTGGGGATGCTGGTGAATGAGAGGCTGGACATGAGTCAGCAGTGTGTGCTTGCAGCCCAGGAAACCAGCTGTGTCCTGGGCTGCATCAAAAGCAGCATGGCCAGCAGGTCGAGGGAGGGGATTCTGCCCCTCTGCTCTGCTCTGGAGAGACTCCACCTGGAGTACTGCATGCAACTCTGGGGTCCTCAGCATAGGAAGGACATTGACCTGTTGGAGTGAGTCTGGAGGAGGCCACCAAGGTGATTGGAAGGATGGAGCACCTCTTCTATGAGGAAAGGCTAAGAGAATTGGGATTGTTCAGCCTGGAAAAGAGAAGGCTTTGGGGTGACTCAATTTTGGCCTTGCAGTACCTGAAGGAGCCTGCAAAGAAGATGGAGAGACTATTTAGAAGAGCATATAGTGACAGGACAAGGGAGAATAGCTTCAGACTGAAAGAGAGTAGGTTTAGATTAGATATTAGGAAAAACTTTTTACTGTGAGGGTGGTGAGACTGAAACAGATTGCCAAGAGAAGTTGTGGGTGCCCCATCCCTGGAAGTGTTCAAGGCAGGGTTGTATGGGACTCTGAGCAACCTAGTCTAGTGAAAGCTGTCCCTGTCCATGGCAGGGGGATTGGAAGTAGATGTTCTTTCAGGTCCCTTCTAGCTCAAGCCATTCTGTGATTCTGTGTGAGCTGATAATTAAATTTATTTTGCAATAGAAAGACTGTAGCACTTCCATCCTTTTCTCTTCAGCAGCCTTTTGTCATTGAGGCATCTTGAAGTGTTGCTTCTCAGATCCTGCTGACAAGTCAGAATTGCTTAAAACGTTTTGCTGTTATAACTCTTTTCAAAGCATTGCTATCTTTAAAATTTCAGAATGCAACATGGTTAGTAAGCCAAAACCCCACATCTGAATTGGCTTTAAGAAGGTTTGTATTCTTATTGTTAAGTACTCGACAATAAAACTTAGTAGTTGGCACTTGATGAAAGAAATGGTATGGGAGAGATGTAAGTTAAAACACAGATATTTTACAGATATGTTTTTAAACATGAGTAGCTTTGTAGAGGTGGAGGATCTTTTTGACAAACATTATACATAGGCTGGATATTTCTTAATATAATACAAAATCTGCAAAACTTGATTGTACCAGTTTTTCAGTGCCCCTTATGTTTCTGAATTTGGATGAAAGATGACATGTCTTTATATGTGTGTAAGACTGAAATACACAAAGAAAATGGCTAAGTGTTGTGTGATCCAAATGGCTGGGCTTCTTTTTTTTATATGTGAGAGAGGGATTATTTCTCCCCTGATACTCATATTGTTAATGTATTTATTTTTAGGTAGTTGTAATCCATGTCCAGAGATTGTAGATGTGAAATGCAACTGTGGAAAAACTGTTATTAAAGTGCCCTGTGGCAGAGAACGTACCATCAGACCTCCCAAGTGCAAGCAGCTGTGCAGGTCAGTATAGAAAGTACCTGTGTTTCTTGTTCTCGAGGGGAGTGTAAAGTGTCATTAAAGAAAGCAGTGAAATATAACTTGAAAGGCAAAAACTGCCCATTACAGCTGTTACTTCTCAGTCTTCTGTACCCTTGACTATGCAGATGGAGATTAGCAATAATCTTTCCTATCAGACACCTCTCTGACACTGAAGTTTCATGAGCAGCTTACTGCTGTCAAGGGGGAGGTTCTGTGACGCCAAGCTCTTCTAATTTTGTAGTCCCTCTTATTTGTTCAAGGCATCTCTGGTATGTTTTGAAGTACCTCCATGAGGCAGTTTGGCTAGAAAACTTGACTAGCTAAAGGAAAATTAGTGTTACCTGCTGGAGTGTGACAAGTGCAGAATTAGTATTGAAACAGCCATTTGAATATGTAAACCCAACTTTGAATTTTAATTTTATTTAGAGTGCCTGTTTAATTTTACTGTAATCTTAACCACTGCTGAAGGTAAGAAGTAAACTAACTAATAAAACCCCAAAAACCCAGCAACTTGTTCATTTCAATTCTTTGTATTTTGAACATAATTGCCTGTAGCATTGTATTTCTTCTTGTCATATTGATTCATTCTTGGATTTTACTTCAGTCGACCACCTACTTGTCACCACTCTACCCAGGAGAAACACTACTGTCACTTTGGGCAGTGTCCTCCGTGTCGTCAGCCGTGCCAGAAAACGTTAACCTGTGGTCATTTGTGCCCTGTTTCCTGCCACGATAAAGCACTCGTGAAGCAAACTGGCTCAGTAAGTAAACAGTGAAAAATGATGTGTTATTTGTATTCTGAGGAATGGGCAACAGTTTGATCTTATTTTGGAGGCTTTGGGAGCTCAGGGTAAATACATAATCAAGCACAGAGGTATGCATACTGCTTAATCAGAAACTAAGTGGCTCTAACTCCTTTGTTGCAATCTAAGTGTTTTTATGGTATATAATTGAATGCTCTGTCTTCAACAGTTGTAATTGCTCAAGAAATTGTAAGATTTTTGTTAAGAGTTGTATTACAAATGTTTGATTTCAAATATAAGCAATTGCTTTTAACGTAAGAACGAAAAATAAATTTAAAGTTTCATATTTACTAAACCATCAAAATTTGGACGATTTAGAAGTGAGAAATTGTTTGGCATTCTTAAACATGTTCCATGCATGCACTGCATGATGGTAATTGAACTAGCTTACTAGTTGAAATAGTTTTATGTTTTTTCCTCTATTAAATGCTTAGAATTATTTTACTGTTCTTTTTTGTAGAGGCTGCAGGCCTTCATTTTTCTATCCCTAACAAAGCTAAGGATGAAATGCTCATTTTTTGTGTGTAGGGGGCATTGAGATTTCTATTAGTAAAAAGTCAGCTACTAGAAAGTGAATTTGTTAGAACTGGGATCTCTGTAGATAATGTTTATTTATGGTCAATCAGTTCCATTTGTGTTTTGTATTCAACTAGTGTTGTCTTTTGCTCTCAGCATCAGTCTGCAGGTCCTTGGGAACAGCCATCTGAGCCAGCTTTCATTCAAACTGCACTACCATGCCCTCCCTGTGAGGTTCCTATACCAGTGTAAGTATTAAAAACCCCAACAAACAAGTTAAAAAACCATTTTGGTATGGGAAGAGGTTTTGGTTTTTTTTATGCTGTTATAGAGATGAAAATTAACCTTATTTTCCTCAGCCTGGCTTCATCTGCTTGATAACTTCCCCTTAATGCTGAAAGACTACTATTATATGCTTGGCCCATAGCCTGCAGTCACAGGTGCAGGACTTTTTGTCTCTGCATTTCTTGAATTTCCTCTCAGCCTGTTTGTCCAGTCTGTCCCCATCCTTTGGAATGGCACCCCTGCTCTTGAATGTGTTGACTACTGTCCTGTTAGCATTATCTGCCAGATTGGCTAGCTGCTACCATTTGAGCCCAGTGACCCTGCTGGTGTTTCATGAATCTGGTAGTTCACCTGACACCTTTACAGCTCAACTTGAATGCAGGTTTGCTGTGGGGAATTCCTCATCCACAGATTAAATGGTTAGATGACAAAAGGCAAGCAGGCTGGTTGAGCAGTTTCCCCTTGCAGTGGAACAGAAATGCTACAATGGAATGCAGAGGTCCTAGGAGACAAATCAGCTGGATATAGGAAGATTTTTGTGGATATAAGGTAGCTGAGCTGTGTGGAATGAGAACAGGTTCTGTGCTGCAACTGCTGGTTCTTATACTAAGTGAAAGACTGATTGCTTGTGAGTTTCCAGCTGTTCTAAAGACCGTCTGTAGCTATTGCTGGTTGTTTTCTGTCAAACAAGTTATAAAGCTTTTTTTTTTAATACTCTTCTAGAATTTTTTAGGAACTGATTTGCAGGGCTTTTAGCTTGAATATTCATGATGGTTTCATTAATCTCCCTTAGAAGATTTCAGTAGAGAAATCAAGGAGATGACAGGTATGAAATGAGAGGTAAAAAGAAAAATACACTTTTCAAAATAATGAGCAAAAGATAGATTTTTTGGATGTTTGAATGAGTCACCATTGAATACCTTCACAATTCTGATCAGAGTGCAGGTTTTCTTACCAGGAACAGCAGACCATTCTAAAAGGTAGAGAACTGTAAAGACAAGGTAGTTCTCAGAAGTAACTGAAAAATATGAACTGATACACAGTAGCAGAGACAAAGGGGAAGATATTTGGAAGCAAATCAGGTTATTTTATGAAATAAATGTTATTGATTTCATACACAACTGCTATTAACTTGCACATTGAACACAGATTTTGAGATTGCCATCATAAAACACAGCAATCCAAACAGCTTTTGAAATGGTGAAGGCATTGAGCTGCATAGATAGATGATTTTCTTAGTTTGTACTTTTAAAAAATAGATTGCATTATTGTGAGAAAAGCACTGTCATTGTTTTAAGTCTCTTATTAAAGAAATACGTTTTCTAAATCTATGATTTTTCTCTTTAACAGGGAGTGTCTTGGTCAGCATGAGGTGAGTCATGGAAACTGCCTTAAAGTGAAATATGGCAGATATCTCATTTTTTCAGTCTGCAAAAAAGGCATTAAAGAGAAATAGTATATATTTTTGTATGTATTTTAAAACTAGTGAAGTTCTTTATCACAAGGGCATGAAGGTATTTTAGTTCCTTTTTGAGGAATGTATAACTACTTATCTTCTTAGAATTCTTGGACAGAAATTTAAACTCATGATTTATAAAGCTATTTTTATATTTTTGCAGCTGGTTAAATAGTGTTTAAATATTCTTTGGGTGGTCTTTTCTTATTGTATATTTCTGGGTTTTTTCCCCCTCGTTCTATAGTTGTTATTCTTTCCCTGTCACACACTTTTTAAAATTTTCATATAAACTGTTGTGTGTAGCTTAAAAGGATAAAGAGCATAGTGTCACACAGGAAGATTGACATGTGATTTGGGTCTAGGCACACATGGATGAATTCAGACAATATAGTGGAAACTTCTTTAGTGTTACTTATTAGCTTGTCTTTTTGGTGTTCTACAACTGGTTCTCCAGTTTTAGAGGAAGTAATTTTCTCTTTTGGCTTACATGAGAAGAAAATCTAATTGATGCTTGAAGCTAAATAACTATCAGTATTCACAGTGATTACTAAAGGTTATGATATTGAAGGTCAGCTCATTTTTCTTGAATTTAAAAGATGATTGCTAAACTAATTTGACAAAAAAGCTATTGCTATTATGGCTTTGTCTAACTAGTGTGTGGCAGAAATTCACTGTCAAAGTGCAACTAAGAATGTTATAAAAAACCTAGAATCATGTTAAGCTAGTAAAAAATTGTAGAAAACAGTAAATACAAAATATCTGAAGATACCTCCCCCGTTTCTTTCTTTGACCTTCTTTAATATTCTTTCGGTATGTGTTGTAATGGTGGTTGATTATGTGGTGGCAACATTTCCAAATGTTGTTATCAAAGTTTATGTATCCACAGTCTGTCTGTGCAGCACATCTATTAATCCATCCAAGCTGTGAATGCAGCTCCCTTAGAGCTACTTTGCAGCTTATCAATTGCTAAAGAAAAATGTGCCCTGAAAATGGTTGAAAAGAACAAATGACTATTAGTTTGTTGTTGAAACAGACAGGTTTTGTTTTTGTAAAGCTTATAGGTGTGTTAGCCAATGTTTTGTTGAGTTATTTAGTTTTAGATACTACATATTGAATCTCCTTACCCTAACTTTCATGAATTTCTAAACAAAATAGAAGCTGTGGTTAACTGACCCAATGCATAACTTGCTCTAGACAGTAGTACAGGTTTTGGTACAGTTCGGATGTACATGGCTGTGAAGTTTGTTCTTCCCCATAACAAAAGTACAGTATCACTACACTTACTAGAGAAAATGGTACCAATAACTACGTATTTATTACTACTTATTTCAGAATAATTAAGAAAAATATCCCTTCTCTGTTGCATACTACTCTTACCAGAATCAGTCGGTGGATTTGGGCATTGTTTTCTTTATGGATTAGTATAGAAAATAAGGGAAAAGCCCGGGGAGTCTATACTTAACTTTTATTTATGGATGCTATTAGACTGTAGATGAAATGTTACTTTTTTCAGCCAGCAGAGGCCAGTGCTGCCTTCCAGGTGTGCAATGATTGTCCTCTGAGGTTTGGAGAGCAGGCAAGGAAAATAAGGATCTGTTAATGTGTGCGTGAAGGGAGTGTTTACAGTGTAGTTTATGTGCATGGTACATTTTTACATTGTTCTGAGATCTTTGGAAAGAAAGCTAAGGTGTAATGCCTGTTTAGTGTTTTACAGCCACCTTGGCACTTAACAAGTAATCTCACCTCAAATTAACTTACTTTTGGTAACAAGAGCAAACACTTGTATGTATTTATGAATGCTAACCTCCTATAATGGTTTTCAGCCCCAGAGGATTTTCACTGGGAAATGTAAGCTTTGCACAAGTGACAAATTAGCAGTTTTGTCAAGCAGAAAGTTTTGCTGTGAGTAGGTGCTCATTGCTGTACTATGTTACTACTTATGCTGGACTGTTGTTACACCTCCTGTAATGGAGATATAAAAGACAGAAACTAGGAACAAAACAAGTTATGAAGTCTTCTTGTATTCTACCAGGATGCCTGCAGACAATGACTAGAATAGAAAATAAAAGCAAACACATCAGGAGCTGTATAATACAGTTTTTATTTGAACAGTGATTTTGTTTTGTGTAGGTATTGGAGTTGGTTGGTTTGGCCTTTTTTTTTGGTGTTTTGTGGGGTTTTTTTAAACTTATTTCACTTTGACATTTAGTTGAAAAAGTTTTTAAGGGATTGATTTACTTTGAGCTCTTACATGACTGGGTATTTAGAACAAGCAATTTATCACTTTAAACAACAGACTTAAAACTACTTTTCAGGTAATGTAATCCTATAAAATATGTGTTTAGTGAAAGTATGTTTCTACATGATGTTTAAGCTAAAATAAGATTTATTTTAGCTGCAGCCTATAGCCTTTTTTAAATTAATTTTACTCTTAAGTTTTGGACATTTTTACGTATATTTAGAAAAATAAATAACTCTTCATTCTTCCATTTGTGGGTGCTTAAAAGTAGCTCTCAATTTTCTTTCAGGTTGTATGTCAGAAAAATCACGTATTATCAACAATTGACACTAGCCCAAAAGGAAATTTTGTTGTTTTGCTTTTACTTTTTAAACTGTTATAGACATTGGCATTTCATAGCAGCGTACACATGTGCTCTTGTAAAAATCAAATTATGAGGGCTAATGTTTATATTCTAAATCTGGTTTTATGGGGAACATTAATTAAAACCAATACAAGGTCAATGAGGACAAACAAGGAAATCTTAACTGGATGGATATTAATTTATCTGCTGCAAATAATTCTTGTCTATTTGCTTCATTTCATTAAATGATCATTTAATTTCATGAAATGATCTGAGTTTGTTTCCGTGATGAGTATTTTGAATATCCGGTAATATCAGTCTTAGAACTATCTTTCTTCTTGTTGTTTTGGGGTTTTTTTGGGGGGGAAGGGGCTGTGTCAATTTCTGTTGTTTGTATTCAATTTTTTTTTTATTAGGAATTTAATGCTATGTTTTCTAAGTGGCTTTTTAGTTGTGGTTTGTTTATATGAGAAAGAACATTACCTCTATGTAAAATTTTATGTAAAGCTTGATGAGATTCATCTTTATGACTGAATACCTTGTGAATGTTTCCAAAATGTCCTTGCCCTATGGATTTTTATTTTTGTATTCCAATTGATGTATCTGTTAATTGCCTTTATGCATTTAAGAGATTTCCTGAAAATCTTCCGAAATACATGATGTCCTTTTTTTCCTTTCCTTCCTTTCCTTGTCCTGTGGAAGACCTGTGGTCTGAAAATTAGGCCTTGTTAATTTATTTTCTCATTCAGCTTTTATAAAATACTTCTGGTTCTCATCTGCATTCTTGCTTCTTCAGCTCATCAGTCTCCTGGAGTTTGTGGCTTCTTTGATATTCATCTTTATAGCAAGAGTAGTGGCCTTCATTCAGCCACTTCAGAAATGCATTCCAGCTGTAGAAAGTAAAATTTTTCTCTACTTTGTCCTTTGGATTTATTACTAATATCTACACTAGAATGACTTGTCTAGAAGTGAGAAAAAAAATAAGAAAATATAATGTAGGTTTAAATTAACTGAAATTCTTCTATTTTTGGCTACGCTGTCAATTGATTCCAGAAGACTGTCTTATCGGCCTCAAGACTTAGGGAAGTCAATGAGAGAGGCAAGCTGAAGCCATGCCAGATGCAGCCAGAGGGCTGGGATGCTCCCTGCAGTCAGCCATCTGGAAGCTGCCATTGTTGTCTGTCTGGCTTGTGTGCTTCACTGCCCCTGGCTTTGTTTAACATTGCCTCTCACAGTGTGCTTGAGGGATGCTGATGAAAGGGATGCTCCGCTTCTGCCTATGTGCTTCTGTTAATCTGCTCTAACTGGAGCTAGTGGCTGTGTCCTTCTCTGATGGAAGACATAACTCCTGGTAAAAAGAAGTCTGATCAGGATTTTGAAACAGTGCAGCAGTAGATCTGATCTACAGTTTTAACCCTGATCTGCTGTCACTGCCTGAGCCACAGCAGAACCAGCAGTTGTCAAAACGTAGGGGCAACAGGGGAGCAGAGACAGGTAGAGAAGTGGGCATTGGCAGATCATAATGTTTAGTACACCTTTTCTTTCATTCTTTTACCTTTCAGCATCCTTTGACTACTTCTGTTGCTGCTGAAAGGAAGCATTCTGAGGAGGGAGGTGGAGGAGGATGAGAAGGGGTAGGATACTAGGAACATTAACACCTTTGGTAATTGATGTGTGCTCACTGAGTATAGTACTATTCTCATCTTCAGACCCTCATTAGTGCTGTTGCTTGGGTTTCTTCCTTTGGTCACCAGAAACATAAGCTATCAGAAACAGGATTGTAGAGTGTTTGCAAGGGGCAGTTAGAACAGGTTTTCAGGCTGCTTGCTGTGGTTGTTTTAGTGCTTTACCCAGCATTAGCTTCAGCTCTGACAAAGGGATGTGAGAGTGGTTAGATGTGATGGCCTCAAGGTTTTCTCCTGTATATTCCATGCTTGATATTCAGCCTGCCATGCAGACTCCTCCTGTTCAGTCTTAGTGGGTCAGGATGAGAAGAGGAGTTCAGAAGTCTTGTGAATGAATTGGATTTTGCAGTGGCTTGATCTGGAGTAGGATTTTTTTGGGTGAAGCTCAGAAAACATTTATATGGGCAAGTGGATTCAAATCCTACTTTGTGTACTTTTGCTTGGGAAGTCAACATGGACAGTGTTGGAGGGAGGCTGTCCCTCACCCTGCCCTGTGAGGACCATCCTCTCTTCTCTCATTTCAGTTCCAGTGCTCACCTGTTTGTGTGGCCAATCCACTAAGAAGAAACTTTTTTCTATTAATTCCTTTTCTTCCATTTTGATTAGTTGAATGATCTTGCTCTAGAAACAGATGTGTGGTAGGACTTGTTCAAAGTGGTAGGAGTGTGCAATGAGGATTGTAGAATTGGAAGAGAGAAAAGGAAGAGGTACACTGCAAAGCTGTTCAGTCAAGTTAAGCTGGAACACAAAATCACACCCATAGTCTAGTCAAAGTGAGTTATATCACATTAGCCTCTTGTGTAATAACATCACAAATAGCTTGTTTCTCTCTGTGAAGTGAACATGAAATTAAGAAAAAAAATCAATTTTTTTGACAGCATCACAGAAACTATTTTTTTTCATGTGAATATTATATAATGGTTGGAAAATGGGAACAGTTTCCTCTGATCCTTTGATATGTAGGGACTTGTACGTAACTTTAGGAAAGTAGCCTAGTTAACCTAGTTAGGAGTTTACAGTCTGTTTTGGGACCAATGAAGATTAAAGGCTACTGAGTAGATTCTCTGAAGAATACTACAGAGCTCTTATTAACTGGAGTGTTAACCTCAAATTAGAAAGTACAAATGTATCAAAAGACATTAAAATATGAGTCCTATCATGGAGCCATTTCTTCTTCTCACTCCTGGGAGTTACATCTGACATAGTCAGTATTTGGTTTATAGAATTTCTGGCTTGCAGGTTGTCTTCTGTTTGTCAAATTGTAAAATATTTTTGGTTTATGATGACCATAACACAATTAGCCCTGTGAAAGCAAATTGTAGCTGTCTTCTGCAATAACAATAAAGCAGTTTAGGAACCTTTAGTGGAAGGCATGAGTGCAATTCAGAAAGATGGAATAAATCACACTAAAAGATTTGAGAATATAATAGTCTATTTTTAAAAAAAAGCAGATTCTTCTGAAAACTCTGCTTAGGCACATGGAAAGCAAGGAGGTGATTGGTAACAGCCAACATGGCTTTACCGGGGCAAATCATGCCTGATGAATTTGGTGGCCTTCTATGATGGGGCCACAGCATTGGTGGATGGGACAGGGCAACTGATATATCTACCTGGACTTACTCAAAGTGTTTGACACTGTCTCACATGAAATCCTTGTCTCTAAATTAGAGAGACATGGGTTTGATGAGTGGACCACTCGGTGGATAAAGAACTGGCTGGACTGTCACACTCACAGAGTTGTCAGTGGCTCATTGTCCACATGGAGGCCAGTGAGGAGTGGTGTCCCTCAGGGGATGGTGCTGGGGCCGATACTGTTCAACGTCGATGTCAGCGACATGGACAGTGAATTGAGTGCACCCTCAGCAAGTTCACTGACCACACCAAGCTGTGTGGGGCAGTTGACATGCTAGAGGGAAGGGATGTCATCCAGAGAGATCTCAATGTGCTTGAGAGGTGGGCTGGTGACAGCCTCATGAAGTTCAAGGTCCTAAATCTGGGTGGTGGCAATCCCAGGGACACTCAACCCCACCACAGATTGACTGGGGAAGTAATAAAGAGCAGCACTGAGGAGAAAGACTTGAGCGTGATGGTGGATGAGAAACTCAACATGAGCTGGTGATATATTCTAGCAGCTCAGAAAGCCAATCGAATTCTGAGCTGCATGAAAAGAAGTGTGGCCAGGAGGTTGAAGGAGGTGATTCTCCCCCCCTGCTCTCGGGAGACCCCACCTGGAATACTGTGTGCAGTTCTGGTGCCCTCAATGTGAGAAGGGCTGTTGGTGCAAGTCCAGAGAAGGGCACTGAAGTTGATAAGAGGGTTGGAGCATCTCCCCTATGAAGACAGGGTGAGGAAGTTGGGGCTGTTCAGCCTGGAGAAGAGAGGGTTGCATGGAGACCTCATAGCAGCTTTCCAGTATCTGTAGGGGCTACAGGGAAGCTGGAGAGGGACTCTGGTAGGAACTGGACAGTGACAAGACAAGGCATAATGGGTACAAGTTGAAAGAGGGTTAATGTAGATTAGGTATCAGGAAAAATTGTTTGGATGTGGGGGTAGTGAGACACTGGAACAGGTTGCCCAGGGACGTGGTGGATGCCCCAACTCTGGCAGTGTTCAAAGCCAGGCTGGATGAAGTCTTGAGCAGCCTGGTCTAGTGAGAGGTGTCCCATGGCAGGAGATGTTGGGACTAGATGATGTCTAAGGTCCATTCCAACCTCTTAACATTCTATGATTCTATGAAAAGTTACCTTGTTTAATAAAGTGTGCTTTTTTCACCTGGTACAATGAGTGTGGACCAAATGTGTGTTGTTATGTGGACTGGGACCAAAATTATATTTTGTTAAAAAAAAGGTCAAATATAATTGATAGAATTGCACTGGTGTTTTTTTCTTTTTACAAAGGTACTCAAGAACCGAAATTTCTCTGTAAGGATGCTGTGTCTCTGTGTGTGCATATATATATATATGTGTGTCACACACAGTACACATGTGCAATGTGTGTATACATACGCTACCTGCATATCTATATCTATCTTTTTTTAACTTTCAGGTTAGTCCATTGCCATGTCATTCTGCAAATCCCTTCTCATGTAAAAGACCTTGTGGGCGGCTTCTTGATTGTCAGAATCACACCTGTATGAAAGAATGTCATCCTGTTACTAAATTGAACAGCAGTGCAGATGGAAAGAAGGTAGGTTAATTTCTTTTTCTGCTTTTGTTTTTGTGTATTTTATATGTTGTATTCGGTTTTAACTGAAAAATCAAGAATTTGCAGCTGAAAGGCACAGGATCGATTCCAGATCCCACTGGGAGACTTGCATATATGCTGTTCCCATTGATGCCATGACATTTAGCTAATCTATACTTCCTTAGACTGTAAAACCAAGACAATATTATATAATTAGCAACTTCTATACCTTTTTGTTTTGTGTTGACATACATTACTTTGATATCATCAGAACCTTATTTAACCTTCTTGACAAATCTGTTTTAAAGTTGGGATTTTTTTGTAACTCAAGAGCAAGTGAACTAGTGGTAATCTCTATGTACAAATGTTATTGCAATCTACTGGGGAAACTACTGACTGAGGAGAGCTGTAACTGGGTTGAAGAGGCTGCAGATCTTAAGGAGAGGACACTGGATATGTTGCAGAATAGCTAAAGACTTCTTAAAGCACTGAGACGATACGTATATCAGTGTCCACTAGAAACTGTTGGGTTTTCAGTTCAGAAGCTGTGGGTGTTAGTTGCAGAAGATAATATGAACCAAAAATTAAAATAAGTATGAAGCTGAAAATTGTTCCAGCTTTGAGCAGCTTATGGCTTGAGAGAGTCATGATTTGGAGGAAAGTGCTTTTTCAAGTTTTTTTGTAAGCATTACTTTAGAAAAAATTGCAACATGGGCCCTCTGGGCATTTAGAGAATGGAGAAGCATTCAGTTGGGTACAAAGCATAAATGTTTTATTTTAACTTGCTGTTATATTTAACTTAAATAGGATGATATACCTGTGGATTCCAGTCCTGAAAGTAGTGATGGTATCATCTGGTAACTGTATATATTGTAGCTACCATAATATTCTATTAGTGATTGTGGAACTTTTGCCTGAGGAGTATGGGCTGTTAGTGCAACTGGTGGAACAGTAACCTGCAGCAACAGAGTGACATCAGTAAATATCGAGAGTGACAGTTAAGCATCTCCTGCTCTGTCTATAAGAGGCTGTCTGCCTAGTGCTTCAGTTAAGCCAATTAAAGTGTGAATGAGTCAGGTCTATTTCTAGCTCCGTTTTGAATGAGGCAGTACATTCTCAGAAAACAGGAGTACCTGTGAAGTATGGGCAAATCTCATGTCTCAGTTTTCTTTGAATTTTTCTGAACTCAAGTTGGTTTTGACCTTTAGAGCTTTTGTTCTTTTGTTTTGGTAGCCTAAATTGCAGGTGCAGTCAGAAAGGGGCTGATTAAATTTCATGCTCCTATGTAGAGTACTGATTTTTTTCTGTCTGGAATTTAGGTTTGTTCTGCATGTTTGGTTAGAAAATGTTGCAGAAAGGCCAGATGTTTGCTTTTACTTGCTGTTGAATTTTCTATCAGAGTTCTAAATGCTTTTAGTTGCTGTTGTTTTTCTTATATTTGAATTTTTGGGAGTTGTAAATGATCATGGTAAAAAGGATCCTTTTAAAACTTCAGCAAAAATTGTTCAACAGTAGAAGCAGGAGAAAAGGGACCGAGGGAAAACTGTATTAGAAACTTAAATTCTTATGCTGTTTTGAACAACACAAAGTGAAACGTTGGCACGGAATAGTCCTTTTGGGGAAGCATTGTGTAGCTTCATTCTTGGATGACTTGGCTTTACTCTGACTGCTGACTTTGAAAGTGAACATTCAAATATGATGGTGGGCCTTAAATGTTGTGCTGTGTAGGTTCAGTTGATAAATCATATCAATCTGTGCATGTATTTGATTGCGGATTGGGGTTCTGGGTGAGTTGTTAAGATGAGAATATGAATAGAAATGAAGCTTCATTTTCTGTGCTGCCGTTCTTCACCTTGTGCCGATGCTGATCACATTCCCTGGAATGAGTATGACCCCACAGCTCTTGTAGATGTTATGTAGCCTGTGGAGTGGAAGCAATGGCAATGCCTTAGGCAGTTCCCAGCATGTACCTAAATTAATACTTCTTGGAAGATAAAATTTCGTAAAATCAAGCAGACCAACCCCTCCACCCCTGTATTATGGAGCAATATTTCATGACTAAAGCATTACAGTAACGTGGTAGGTGGGAACATTTAGTTATGAATATGAAATGACTTCTTATTGAACAGTTTTCCATAGAGAATTAACAGGCTTAATGGTAATTTTCTAAAGCACTAATATTAGAGAAGTTCTTCTATGCCCAGGAGGGAAAATAGAACTCTATCTTTTTGACTGACAAATACTGTCATTTCTGCTTTTCTTTTAAAACATATTTTAATAATTATTCTTGCTTGTGGTATATCTTACTGAATAGCTGGATTCCCATAGCAAAAACACCCCAACTCTTTCTTCTATATAAAAGCTTGTTAATGAGGTGTCCCAAACAAATGTTTGGGACTTTGTTTGAGACTCTTTTTATTTTGTTAGGCAGGTCCAGAATGCTCACAGTGCGAAGAGGAGTGTACCAAGCCCCGACCATCTGGCTGTCCTCACCGATGTGTTTTGCCTTGTCATCCTGGTGATTGCCCACCATGTCTCCAGATGCTTAAAATAAAGTGTCACTGCAAATTATCAGTACTGTACATTGAATGCTTGTAAGTGTCAGAACAGAACCCAGCTTTTCATTTGAATGCTACTAACTATAAACCATTTGAAATGTCTGGGATGGGAGCTACTCTTACAGCAAGCCATAAAATTTCTCTTGAAGCTTATAATTTCTAATATAATGTTTAATTTCTATTTAAATTTTGTCAGCATTTTATTTGGTATCACTACTAAACTATTATAAATGCATGGAGTCCTATGAACAGAAACTGTTTTTGTAATACAGATAATATTTTGAATTATGCAAATATATTGTAGTCTAGTAGTAGTCTACCTAGTACTACTACATAGTAGTAGCCTACATAATGGTTGTCCTATATGTGGTTCTTTTACTGTATGTAAAGAAGAATTTTATAACAAGTTCTAGAATTTATGTAGCTAGCAAAGGTCTTTGCCATTAATATCTTTCAAATTCTAGCTGTTTTAACTGGAAAACTCCTCAATGATTATTTGTACACCTTCTGATTCATTTGTGTGTGTGGATAGAGGGTAGGCTAGAATTTGTGAAACATAAGATGGGACTTGTGGGTTTAAACATTGTCCTCTGTGTATTGCTCTGAAAACATTCAGCATATGCATGCATGTCCATTTTCCTTAAAGTACCTCAAGTCCTCTAAATTTATGTGAGTTTGTCTGTAAACCAGTGTAGTTTATATTAGTCCCACAGGATGTGGATAAATGAGTCCACTTTTCTTTATAGTGAGATATATTTAAAATATACCCCTAACTGTATTGACTTTTGTTGGTTTTAAATTGGAATTTATCACAAATACATCTTGTCTTTTACAGAAAACTAGCATGTGCTGATGTAAAGGAAAAGGAGATTCTCATTTCCTGCAAAAATCAGTGTCCAAAAGAGGTAAGCTATATTAGCAAAGAAATACTTGATTTGATGAATGTGTGGAATTTTGTCGGCACAGGCCAAACAAACTAGAGAAGCTTAGTCTAAATGAACATGCTAAGTGATAGATGCAAATGTGATTAGTGAACTGTGCTTGGGGGACACTTATTCATGTCTTGTTGTCTGCTTGGAAGGTGGTATTTTGGAATATTTGGAATATTTTGGGAAGTGCTTCCACTGCAAAACTCTCCAGAATGCCTGAGAAATGCTCCTTCTCAGCAATAAAAATGCTTGTACTAAAGAAAATATTTTATCCCATGATGACTTATTATTTTGTTGTTCTGATTTGGCCTTTTACTGTGTAGCTGAGACTATCTTGTAATTAAATGCCACTCATAAATAATTTGATTTGACCCCTTCCCCTTCCCTGAATCCACTCAGTTGCCACATGCTGGGTTATCTATGATGGCCTGTACTCTGAGACTTCTGTCTTCTTACCTCATGTCTTGTAGTTTTCTGCCTCAGCCTAATAAATATAGATTCAATATTTTCCTGTTGTTTCATTATCTTCCAGTGTCAGGAACTTCAAATTTGAATCCTCACCTTTATTAGAAAACTTTTTTTGGCTATGATTAAATGCAAAAATTTACATGATTCCTGTTGCTTTCCCCTCTGTGTCTGTTTCTCTGCTTTTTGGACTAGATTGTGTTAATCCCAATAGGAAGGCTACAAGTAGGCTCTGTGCCTACTTGTATCTTCTGCTTTTTGCCCTTGTTGATGCCCATCTGATGTCTTTTTTTTTTTTTTTTTCTGTAAATGAATGTGCCTGACACAATTTTCTCATCTGGAAGCCCTCTTCCTGGCGAGAGAACACTTTGGGATATTACGTCATTGTCCATTTACCTTTTAATTGTGTCCTTTCACGTCCCTCTCTGTTACTTTGGTTTTATTTGCTCCAAGACTTTCTCCTCTTTATTTTCAAGAGTGCTTGAAAATAGTCTCTTGTCATGAACTATGTGTTCTGTACTTCAGCTTTTATTCAAAGATTTGTTTTTTTCCCCATATCTCATCTTTGACTTTGATTAATGTAACAGTTGTGATTTTTGTGGACATATTCCCCAGACTCAGTCTGGGATTTAAAATCCACCTAGAAGCAGTCCTGAATTCTGGCTTGCAGTTCAGAATTGCCTTGTTCCACAGATGATGTCTTTTTTACTTAAGTCAGTGGGATGTAAAAGAAAGCTTAGGACAACAGAGTCTTTGTAAGTTTTATAAAGCTTTTACTGAACTCCAGAATTCTTATTCCTATAAATGCTTTGAAAAATTAGGTTTTCTGCAGCTTCTGGTATCCAGAGAATCTTTTTAGTGTCATTGATGATGTAAAAACACATGTTCTTCCCTGTCTGTGATTCTAGCTCTTAATGTCTTTCATGAAACACAGAAGTTGTTAGTACCTTCCTGCTTCAGGTGGCTCATATCTTTGTGTTACAGTTCATCCATCCTGCTTTCTTCAGATCCTACTTTGGTAACTTCATGTGTACTGTATGAGATTTTCACTATTTTTTGTTCTAAAATATTTCTTCCATTTATCTGAATATTGAGCAGTGCTAGGGATGTTTTGTCTGTTTCTGTTTTGTAAGTATATAGTATTTGTCTGCAACTTTGAGAAAACTGACTAGTTGCATCATAATACAAATTATACTGATACTATTTATACTTTTAAAGGAATAATTGATAAACACAGTTTGAAGGAGCAGCCCTAACAGGCATCACCCTGACACTGCTACCACCACCCCTCCCAGCAAATCCAGGTCAAGCCCACTTGTGTTTGTAGGTTTTGTCTCGTGAGACAAGAACTTAGAAACAGCTTGGCCAAAGTTAAGATGGCTAGGACTCCCAAATTTTGAATGTTTAAAGTTTACAAATGTAATATATATGCCCAAAACTAAATTGGAAGTGTTTTGTGTATAGTTCTTGCAGCCTCAACTAAATTTCCAATTAGCATTTTATGAGAATGTTCTTATTCTGTGCCAGAAGCTGACCCTGGGTCATTACCACAGCTCAGTCAAGTTGATGTTTGCTAAAAATCAGTGTGCACTGTCACTACAAGCTTACCATACTGCAACTTAATTCAGCAGAATACAGTATGTTACTCAAGTCTTCATTTTGAGATGTTTCTGGTTAATGGAAATTGCAGTAGACAGTATGCTACCATATTTGATTTACAGGTACCATGTACTTTTGAGGTTAGAGAAAAGCAATTATATTGTCTGGTGCCTTGAAAAAGTGCTACAGGAACTTGAAAATCTTGAAAGGTTTCGTGCCTTTGTTTTGTCTATGGCAGTATAAAACTATAAAAGTGACTTCTAGGATTATATAGTACAGTACACATTTCCTTTCTGCTTTAGGGAGAAGCAGTGTCTTTGATATTGCCACAGCTGTTAGATGAGATGCTTTAATTAAAAAGTTAATTCTCTTGTTTGGTAACAATAACAAAATATCCTGTTGAAGGAAATTTAACTTCTTGTTTTTAATCAGAGTGATTAAATTCTTATGATCATGCTTGCAGATGTTTTGAGACAGTTCTTACACAGAAGTTTTAACAGTCTATCAATTTTCACTGTTCATGTATTCCTGTAAGTACTGGTGTTTAACACTTCATTCCATGTAGTTATTTTTTGACAAAATAATGTTAATTTGTCCTTTTACTGTGCACTCTGCTACTGTCTTTGTGTGAAATGTGGGACCCTATTGTGATAAATTAATTTTAATATGATAGTGCTGTAGAGACGATGTCATCTTTTTCCTCTGTACTTGGCACTGCTGAGGTTGCACCTTGAATCCTGTGTTCGTTTTGGGCCCCTCACTCCAAGAATGACATTGGGGTGCTGGAGTGTGTCCGGAGAAGGGGAACAAAGCTGGTGAAGGAGCTGAAGCACAAGGCTTAAGAGGAGCCACTGAGGCAACTGGAGTAAAGGAGGCTCGGGGGGACATTATTGATCTCTACAACTACCCCACAGGAGGCTGTAGCAGGTGGTGGGGATCAGTCTCTGCTTACAAGTAACAAGTTGTGCCACTGGAAGTTTAGATTGGTTATGAGGAAAAATGTCTTCACTGAAAGGGTGGTCAGGCATTGGACTAGGCTGCCCAGGGAGATGATGGAATCACCATCCCTGGAAATGTTCAAAAAAATGTGTGGACATGGTGTGGTCAGGTTAAGGGTTGGACTCAGTGGTCTTAAAGGTCTTTTCCAACCTTAACAATTCTTTGATTCTATAAATTTAAACAGTATGCATGTCTTTTTCGTTTTTTATATATGAAATAAATTAAGCATTCTGGAGATAAAATATAATTCTGTGAGCACACATTGCACATGTATGTGGGTTGCAATTTGGTCTCTGTTTGGAAGTGGTAAAATTCTCTTTTGTGCTTAGCTTTTGGCATTGCTGCTCAAAAGTGCTTTTTTCTTTTCTGACAGGCTATTTTTTATTATTATCAGATGTGTATTAACAGATTGTGTTTACTACCTTCTGTTTGAGATCAGTTAAGCCTCCATAAATGCTAATAGGTTTTATCATCGTTGGATATAATGTTAAGATTTGAATGCATTGCCTGTGGGGAAATACTTGTAGGATATTTTTTGTAGGTTTTTGTTTTTTTTTTCCAGAGCTGTGGTTTAAATCCTTTCTTTTAAAGGCCTTGCCATATCAAACATAAAGCCTGTTCATTTTGGCCTTTGGTCCACAAGCTATTGACAAGAGGTCTTGTGTGGCAAAAAAGGATCTAAAGGGGCATATGCTTTCTGTTTTAGTGCCCAGTTCTGCATGGGCACTTTAAAATAAGCAAAAAAAAATAAATCCTTTCAGACTACATTATTTATTCAGCAGAAGCATGATTGCTTTTGTTTTCTGAGATCATGAGGAAATGTTTTGCCACTCATTTCACTGCTCTTTGTTTTATTTTTATGATTTTTTTTAATGTTGGTTTTGCATTGGAAGTGAAGAGAGTCTCCCTGCCAGCTTCGTTCCTGTCCTGTGTCCCTGTGGGTGTGAAGTGACTAGCTCTATGCAGGGAACTACATGGGTACCTTTGTGTTTCAGTATTGGACTGAACATACTTCTGGCTACACAAGTTTTGCTCTAATGGTGCCAGTGTAAGAATTCTATTGCAGTAGCACCTGGAGGTTGAGGTGAGGGCTACTGTCTTGAATTTGCAGCTCTGACATGCCAGTTACAAGACTCTTTGTTTGGGCTTTGATGCTATTAATGAAAATGTGCCTAATTAGTATGGAAGAGTAAGTTGGAAGTAACAGTTCTAGCCATTGCTTGTTCTGGCCAGCATGAGATGACTTGTAGGTGAGACTACGTTGAATTGTTATTGCTCTTGGGTAGGGAGCCAGGAGAAGGGCCCACTTACTGCACAGAGGTCATGTAGCAGCAAATTGATTTTGCAAAGATTGTGGTCACTAGTGAGCAGGCTCAGCCACTGGACTCCATGTTCTGGCTGGTGGTCTGACCATGGTAGCGTACAAGGCTTAAAGAAAAGTTTCTCCCATCATCTTTTCAAATCGAGGCAAAGTAATTTTTTTGTTCTGATGCAGAAGACTGGCTGGTGATCAGTTGTGCCTGAAAAAGCTAAATTCCTTCTTTGGTAAGATGACCAATTTATATATTTTTCCCTCAAATATAGTAGATCTTCTACATAAGGCTTCAGCAGAGCAAGCGAGTCAATGCTACTTAGTGAATATTTAGTTCATATGCAGAAGAGGGTTCATACAAGGATGAAGGTGGGCTAAAGAAAACAACTGCATGTATTTTATTGTCCTTTGAAAAAACATCAAAAAAATCCCAAAGCAAGGACAAAACTAGGGCAAGAGATACTAACAATAAGGAAGCTTCCCCAAGTGCTGAATTGACACCTGACCTTGCATTGTTTTCTGTAATGATCTTGGCAGCAAAAAACACTGGAATTTTTTGATGAAAAATTGTGGAGTTTTGTTGGTATGTGAGAACTGAGGAAATGCATCTGCAGAACACATGTATTTGGGGCATCTTATTAGATACAGAAAAAAAACCCAGTAAGGCCATGTATGTTAAGCTAACAATAAGCTCCCAGGAAACAGAAATTCTTATTGTCACAGCATGGTTAGCTGGAGAGAAATGCAAATGAAAGCTAAAGATGTATGGGGAAGATACTCTATTAAGAATGATGTGTAATTAAGGCATTGTACAAAGTCCTGCCTGCTGAGATGTTGTCTGGAATATTACATGCAGTTCTGGCTATGTATTCAAGAAACGTTGATTTAAGTGGGTTGAAATTCAGTGAAGGGAATACTATAGAAATAAAGAGCCTTTTATGAAAGGGCAGTAGAGAAATATTTCAATATGAGGATAAGAACTAAGGGACTTAGACTGGCTAGAACAAATGTTGGAAATAAAAAAAAATAAATGGAATAAACAACTCTTGCATATTGTGGTGAGCTCCTGGAGCAGTCTCCTTAGCTAAAGAGTAAACACTGAGCCTAAACCACAAAGTGTCTATCAGTATAATAATTTGTTATTCATGGGCATGAAAATATGTATGTCTGTTCCATAATTTTTAGTTGGAAAGTTTCTCATTCTGTTTGGGTTCCATGATCCTAGCTCTGAGCTAGTATATTGAGTCAGTTCTAATGGACTTCTGAGAATCCACCTGAGGTTTAATATTATGTAGGATTCTTATTCTTGTGGATGAAGGGATGTAATAGGTATACATTTTCAGTTTTTAGTAAATGTGAAAAAAGTCTTAAAATTGTGTGTTTTGCAACATTTCCAAGTTTTGTTAATCCCTTGATGACAGTGAAGAGATGAAATTCACTTTTGATAAAGAACACTAAAGCTATTTTAAATAGCTTGGGGTTTTAAAGTTACCTCTGTAAATAAATTGATTAGATTTATGTGAGATTCCACCTTCAGTTTTTAGCAGTATTGGGTTATGTAATGGAAAATGAAAAACACTTATTGTGAAGATTTCTTATGGGCATGTGTATGAGCAAGGAATATTTTCCATTAAGTTCTTAACAGTTAGTGAAAAAAATTTGCTTACTATCTTGACATTTTACTTACTATAATGCTGGGAGCCCTGCTACATTGATAACAGCATATGTAAATTAGTGTCTTAACTTTTAACACAGTAATTGAATGCTACTTTCTTTATAAGTGTTAAAAATTGCACTGACAGTAAAAAAGGTCTTTATCTCTCAGATGGTAGAAACAGGATAATCTGCCCAATGCAGAAATTTAGAGTTTTATGAAATTATTTTGGACATCATAAGAATATTGGTGACCTGTATCTGACTTACACATAATGCAGATGATTCTTTCACGTAGAATTTCTTCTGTGGTATTTTTGCTTCTAATTCTTTCTTCTTCCTTTTATTACTCTGTCTAATCTATAAGTAGCTACAGTACACTTAATTTCAGTTTTCAGGGTTTTTTTATCTTGCCTATTTGTATTCCTCCAACATACAGATAGCCAGGGTAATTGTTGTATACATTACTGTGGAGATGACTGGTCTTGAAGCATTAGAAAGGAGGAATTGGTTTTTAATCAAGCTGTGTCAATAAAAGATGAATCATTCTACAAGAACTGAAATACAGCAAATAACAATAACAAGCAAACATTTGCCAAAAAATAAAGGAAAAAAAGAAAAATCAACTGCTTCACAAGTGGAAAGTCTGATAAGGCAAATGATTTTTCTGTTAAGCTGCTGTCTGAATTAAAACCAATTGATAGGTTCTTTGCAGTTTTACAGTCTTTTATTGATGGGGGAGTTTTGTTTTGTGTGTTTTGTTCTTTGTAGTTGCCCTGTGGTCACCGGTGTAAAGAGATTTGCCATTCGGGTAACTGTGCCCTGAACTGCAGCCAGAAGGTTAAACTCCGATGTCTCTGTAAGAGACTGAAAAAGGTAAGTTTCCAAGTTGCAGTTTGAGAAGGATGTATATACTTTGCATGTTCCTAACCTTGTATGGATGCTTGTATTGGATAGTGCAGATTACTCTTGTAGAGCTATAGCAATTCACATAGCTGAAGATCTGGGGTGTGATATCAGAAGATTCACTGGAAAATATAAAATCTTGTTAATTCTAGAATATGTTAGCTGCCTGGCTTACAATAGCTTTATCTTCATGCACACCTGAATTTTTGTAGCTTTATGGGGAAAGTAGTCAGATGACCTGGAGTGATTTGAGAAGAAAAGTTACATTTTTCTGATGATATTGGGAAAGTTTATATAAGGAGGAACTAGCACAGATGTTGTGAATCCTGAACTAATATAATCCGTTAAAATTCCCTGCAAACCTAAAAGCAAGTACAGGCATCTTCACCTTCTGACAAAGATAAGGGCAGAGGGAAGTAACAAGTTTACTATAGCTATATACTATTATGAGGGGAACAACAGAAATTGATGTGAAGTCTTTACAAGTAATAATGACTTAATGAATAAAACCAAACATTATCTGCCTTAATGAAAAGATGCTTATAGTATTTTTCTTGACCCAGTTAACTTCTGAGCCTGCCAAACAGGTTGCAGTTCCCCAGAGTTCTCAGCTTCTCCAAGAAATGTCTTGTGCAGGAAAAAGGAAAAAGGATGACATGTACAGAACAAGTGTTCCAGATTGATCAGTCTCTGCTTACAGCTACCCACTTTTTAAAATAAAGTTTCTTCAATGCTAGGAGAGGGGGAGAAAGCATGGATGAGAATGACTTAATCTTTCCCCCCCATGACCAGACCTTGCCCTGTAAAGAGAATATATATGAAATTACTGAGGCTCTCAATGCTGTTCTTTCTGCCAGGGGGTCAGAAGGTTATCTTACTTTGTCTAAGGCAAACAGGTGAGAATAGAGGAGAAATTAAGCTGGGCTATTTGACTTATTCTTCATTTCTGTTTAGCGTATCAGCAAGAATGAAAAGAGAAAAGGACAATTAATACATAACTGCAGGTTCAAATAACATTTAATCATTAGCTTTATGTTATGTGTAAAATCAAGGTTTTCCTAAATAAGAATGTTTTATTATTTTTGAAAATAAAATTTTATATAGTGAAATGATTATGAAAGACAAATTATACTTAACAGGAAATACAGTGCAGCAAGATACAAGAAGGCCAAGTTTCACTGGAATGTGATGCATTATGCAAGGAAATGAAGAGGAAAGCATCTGAGGTAATGTATCTGTTGTAGCTATAATTTCTTCTCAGTGCTTCAGGAAAAGTAGAAGAAATGAACACAATTATTTTGCAAGGCAATACCAGCAAAATACACAACTTAAGTGGATGTTCTGTTTAATAGCAGTGATGTTTTGAGGCTTGGATTTGTGGACAGTGTTAATTAACTCAGTGAAATACTATTTTAAAACAGTATTCTGTTGTTTTTTTATATGTTTATTTGTTGGAACTGGTTCTTTCCTCTTTACTGAGAGCAAGTAATGATCAGCTTTGATAAAATAGCCATTGGTGATGATTAGTGCTGTAAGATTAGGGTCAGGCTGCTTCACAGGGCATTGTCAGATCTCTTTCCACTGAAGGTTTTGCAGCCATCAAATGCTCAGTTGTGCTGTGTGGAGTGTAATCCTGCCACACTGCATTAGTTACCCTATACTAGAACAAAGGAGAGTTTTCAGCAATTGCAGAATACATTTTTGCCTGCTTTAAATGTGGCTTCTCCCTAGCTTGGCTGCTTTATGAAGTAAAGAAATTCTTGCATGCTATCACAGAGAGAATATCAACGTTGCTCTTAAGAAGCCTTTTTAAAAAACATTAGCAAAAAGGATTGGTTCATAACTTGCTTGTTTTTAACAGGCAATATTAAATGTGATAAATGTACAACCCAAGAACTCAATGAGTAAAGCTGACTTTTGTCAGCTTGATTGGCAAGTTCTAACAAGTACCACATGGACCAAATCCTGCAACTTTGCAAGCAGATTGAATGCTAAAACTCTTGGGGTATGTCTTTAGAAAATCCCAACCATAACTAACAGTTCCAGTAAGAGTGTGAAGATGAGTTCATAGGCTATGGAGCCCTTCACAAGGTGAATTCACAAGAGGTTGCATGAACTGTGACACAGCTGCATATCTCAGTGTGGTGCAGTGTCAGCTGCTGGTTTACTTTAGCTGATACTGCTTCCAATTTCTTGACCTGATGTTGTAATCCATAGGGAGGAATGGTCTAATGCAATGAGCAAATGGCTACAAGTTTCTGCTCTAAGCAATGCCACAGACATAGTGTATGGCATAATCTAGGTATGTGTACCTACCTCCCAGAAGAATGTAGTTTTTACTTGTTTTGAAGTTACACAGTGTTCTGTTTAAATTCTTACTAGACACCTTTTTATAGCCTGTGTTGACTTACTATGTAAAAGACATACTAGAATGGTCTCCTATTAGATGCATTTGATGAAAGCAGTTTATTATGTCAATTACTGTTTAATGTGTCCAGAGTGGAAAAAATGTGTTAAAAGCTTCAGACATTTACAAAGCTAAATTAGTTTGCACAATTGCAAAGCAACCATCGATTTTCAAAACCAAAGTGTTTTAACTCTTAATAAAACTTTTCCTGTCTAGCAGCTGGTGAGTATGCACTTCTGAGGAACTGACTGTGTCATTTACTGTACATTTTATTAAATAAATGGTTTGAGAAATGTTTTTCCATACTGTGGTTATAATGGTTAAGCTTCCCTCTACCTATGTATATTATACCTATGTATGCAAACAATATTTAGGCAATTATTGTAATTGTTATTATGCAAATCATCCAGTTATTAGGATCAAGACTGTTCTTCATTTCAAGTTATTAATAGATTTTTGCATCTCACTTTTCTGAGGTAGTGATTCATTGGCCACAGTGCTAAAGGCCCAAGAAATTTATACAAGAAAGCAGACACAAACTTTACCTATATATTCTTTTATGTGACTACTATTGCTTAGTGATCTCTGGCTATGAGAATTTAAGAGTTAGATGGTATCTTTCTGTCTCATAGTCTTTGTTGGATTTATCTCCTGTTAGCATGCCTAGTTGTTTCACAGTTGATAAAAACTTTTGGCATCTCTTAAGTGTCCTGTAGCACTGAAATTCTAAATTTAGCCAAATATTCTATGGGAGTAGAATACTGCCTTCTGCTGTGAGACAGCCTCCTGGTAACTTCATTTTATGCCTTCGCATTCTGAAAAATAACTATTGATGTTATATCCCTATTTGGCATCCTCACACTGTTCAGGATTTGGTGCCTTGATTTGGTTAGTCACGTGATGAATCCTAGTTATGCATCTCTTTAGGTGGAAGCCACTCCATCCTGTTGTCTTTTGTATGTGTTCAGGCTATATATTTTTTTGTTATTGCAGGACCAAAACTGAATGCAGGAGCTAAGATTCAAATACATCACATGGTTACATATTGGCATTTTTTTCTGTAACATTTTTTCCTAATACTTCCTAGCATTTAATTTGCGTTCTTGAAAACTACAAAGTATTTCTATCGAATTATCAGTTGTAACTCATGACTTCTTTTCACACGACTTTCTGGTGGTGGAGTATTTTTAATTATATTTTGTTTGCATTACACCAAGTTTGGTTATGCATTGTTCAGTGTTTGTTGCATTATTTACAAATATAGAGGTTTAAGCTAGTCTAGTAGGGAATATTTAAAGTACTTGGAATGAAACGTGTGTGTAAATTATATATAGGAATTCTCTATGTGTAAATTGTACTGAATTGGGGAAAAAGTTGCTGAAAAATTAGAATTACTGTCTTTAGGAATTCTTCTGGTTGGTAGTGGACAAAGTCTTATTGTAAAATTTTTATATTTGTCGGTTCAACTTTTCAAGTTGAAGTCAGAAGCTCAATTTATAACCTTATAGCAGCCGTTATATGTTCCATGTTTTCCAAATGTGAGATGATTCAGTTTTTCCAAGAATATTTTGTAATCTCAGTAAGTTAAGAGTTCACATGATGGAGGTTTTGGACACCTTTGCTGAGAGCCATTCTGTGGGAGTAATTTTGACTCTATGAGAAAATGGGTTTAGCTCCTGTCTACAACAGTTGCTTATCACTTTGTCTGTCTGGACAGATCAAAGAAGCAGAAGCCAAAGCTGCTGTTGAAGAAGAGAGGCGAAGACAACAGGTATCAACCTTTCTTCTTCGTCACCCACATCTTGTTCTCATTAGTAAATAATTTAGTTCATGTGCAACTAAAGATGTATAGTTTGTAATGTGATATGCACAGTCATTCCTGTCAGCTGTTTCCATACTCTCTGTGCTGTCAGTTATCTACAATGGTTAAGAGACCAGGTGTTCCCAAACAATTTTCATAATTTTATGCAAAATGATAATTAATCAGTTTAATCTTGCATTACTATAACTTTGTGTGATGTAGGTTGTTTTTAAGATACTATGTACTCTTTAGTTTAATCCTACACTTTATAAACACCACAGAATTGCTGAATAACCTCCACAAAGTTTTAAATATTGGGTGCAGCTCCCGTTCTCCCTCCCATCATGAAAGAATAAGGACAACTAAATGAGTCTTTGTCCTTCAGTGTCTCTGGGGGGGGGAGGGGGAACTGCTTTACTGTAATTGCTGATGTTGGTGAGGTTATGTGGTCAGCATTACAATCTACAAAGCTTCTGTGCCAGCTGCCTGGAGATGCTGATACTAATCGTATTTTGGGCAACAACTGTAAGCTCGGTTGGTGGTGATGGCTGGGTCAGGTTTGTCATTTGAAGTCTGCAGCTCTAATGCACACCTTCCAACCACTTCATGCATATGTGCCTGTGCCTCTGTGAGCATTTGACACCAGATCATATTCCCGAGTCCAGTGTGTGCCTTCTGTCTCTCCATTTACTCAATTATCACAGCAGTTATGGATTTAGGTTATACTTGTGTTTTTATCTGCACGTCACACTCCATTTTTATCACAGAGCACTGGTTTGCTCCCTGCTTGGAAGGGGGGCAAGGAAAGCTTACTCACAGGTCCGATCCTCCTGTGCCATTTTCCTAATCTCATTAGGATAGACAGTTTCTCTGTGGGTCACAACTTCTGCTATGCATACTTTGGTAAATCCTCTAGGCAATGAGTGAGAGTGTTATATCTACCAACCAATGCTCTAGCAAGGGCTGATTTTGTTTCTCAGAGGGGAGCGTGTCTACTTACCATGCAAGAAAAGCAGGGAGTTGTGCATCTATGGTCCGGGGGGCAGGCACTGTTTTATTATCATCTTACAATGTTTATTGCAACATTCATGCCTCAGCTGTCTACAATATTGATCACAGATTCCCTCATGTAACTCACAGACAGTTCATCTAATTCTTCTTGTTCTCTAAGCTGACCCTGGAAATGTTATTTCTGGCACATAGGTCAGGAAGCATAGCTTGCACACAGATGTCTGAAACATGTTGTTAGACAGAGGAAATCTGTAATTGATGGTTCTGCAGCCTCAGTATTGAAGTGTGCTAATGAGCATTTACACATGGAAAGAGCATGCTTACAGTTCTACAGCTAGAAATTCAAAGTTGCTGGTGTGTTTTCATGCATTCCAGAAGGCATCTCATCCACTTACTAATCATTTCTGCCTCAAAATCACGTAATTTATAGGACCTCTAGTAACGTCTCAGTAAGGAGGCTCCTCTGAAACTGTAGCAGGTTCATTCCACCAGCGTAGTGAGCAACATTATTTTGCCTGGATTCTTCAGCAGTGATTTTTCTCCCTGCAGTCACACCACCATTGCTTTCTGCTTGTACATTCACTGAAGTCTCACAGTTTCAGCCCTTGTGCAATATACAGCAACTGCTCCTGCCCTCGTGTTTTGTGATGGTTGTAGCTTCAGGGACAGAAAGCTTCACCTACACATAATCAAGCCTATTAAAAGGTTAAATGTGGCTAGTTACATAGCACATTAGGAAATGGTAGGACAACAACAAAACAAAAGAAGGACAACAGTAGCTAGTAAGTAGGCTGTAGAATAGCACACAAGTACTAACCTCAGCTACTGCAGCCTTTTTATCTAACTGGTTCCCGTCCAATTTGACCTCATAATCTGCCATCTGGTGATGCAAATTGGAGGACATCACTATTGTGTTGGGTCACATTAGGAGTATATTTTTGAGTAGCTCCCTTCTGACAAACATTTGCATCTTGTGCCACCTTCCTGATCTCGTTAGCACATCTTTGTAGAGGCTGTTCATCTGTTAGTCACAGCTTCTTGAGACCTATGGTGATTAATGCTTCATTGAATCTTTTATATACAAACTATTTAGTGCTCTGGTAAGTCTGTGCATTTATATTTTGGCATTTGCTATATTTGGTAGCAGCTTTTGCTAATGTAATGTACAGATGGAATCACTTGTTTCTTAGTGGAAGAGAGATGGCTTGGTTAGGCTTCTCATCATGGCCCTAGCAGCCAAACTTCCCCTCTGCTTCTAATTCAGAGGCACCTTGTGAGGCCGAGGTTTTCACAATTGCTAGAAAAAAAAGAACTCTAATTTATTGAGTGGTATGAAAGATTTTTTTTTTGGGGTAAAAAGAAAAAATTTTTACAGATCCTTAGAAGTTACAAAAATCAGCTGTGCCCCTTCCCTGTAAATAAAAATATATATCTGTGCTTTCAGGATATCTGCTTTATGGCCGTATAGTCACTGGTTTTTGCATTCATTTAGCTATATTTTCCCATGGGAATGCTATTTCTTTCAGTACAGGAGGAATATAGAGAATAACACATGAAGGAACAAAATCCAGTGCCTGAGCAACACTAAACTAGACATTATTTGGCATCATATTGGTTTGAGTATACAGTTTAAATGTGATTCATTTTAATATGTCTATGTGCAAAGAAGTTAGGCTCTTACTCTAAATAAAAATCCTAAGCTTGTTTATCTTGTAAAGTTAAGGTAGCTTGAAGACTGGGCACAACCATCACTCTCTTTTCCAGAGATGGTTGAGGTGACACTTTGGGAGCGATGCCTGTTACGTAACATCTCTAGGTAGCTTTTCAAGGACAGTGATGGCTCTCTCTCGTATTCTGTGCCTGTGAGCCTTTTTTCATTGTGTTTTGGTTTTTTATGAGGTATTTATAGATAGCTTACCTTAGAAAGTTCACTAGGAAAGCAATTCAGTACCTCTTACACAGTTGCTTGAGCCCTATATTTTAATTCAGATTTCTGCAGTTCATGAAGCACTCTTTTAGAACTTAGAGATCACAAGTGTATAATAACTATAGAAGGCTCAAATTTTATTTAGTGTCTGTGTAAAATGAAATACTGCCACATTATCTATAAAACCTTAAGATCTCTGCCCTTGCTTCCAGATTTTGGATTTTGAAAAACTGTTTCATTAAAATACTTTGTTTTTCTAAAGGAGGATTATCTAGTTGAAAGCCATCTTTTTTCAAATAGGCAGTGTGACTTTGTCTGAACCTTCCTCCCATATCATCTGGGAAGGGCCAACAATTTTTGCCTTTGTTAGATACAAAGGAATAGACATCAAAATGGGTCCCTTTCTCCTGCTAATAGTGGTATCTGGCACAGGAAGGGAAGTAAGAGCCCCTTTGTGAAACTCACACAAATATTTGCTGTCAGTGGAGGAAGACCAGACATCAGGCAATCTTGAGTTCCAAGAGAAAATTTTATTTACTGCAATACTACTCTGCTGGTCTCCCAAAACAGTCTTAATTCTTGTTTCCTTAATGCACCTACCGTATTGTCTTAGTCCCTCTCTTCCTGGCAGCACTGCAGTAGTAGTCATGTAGATTTATTTCCTCTCATTGCCAGGCTTTGTCTCTGTTCACTGTCCATGCTTCCTCTGCTTCAGCTCAGCCTTGTGCCTTTTGCCCAGCCAGTTCCTGCTTGCTGTGCTCTGCTGCCTCCATCTCTTCTCCCTTTCACTTCATCTGGCTCTCTGCTCACTAGCTCCTTGTCCCATGCTTTTTCTAGTAGCTGACAACTTGACCCAAAAATCCAGGTAATCATTGGACCTTTTCTGGCTTTAGTTTGTCTGAGGTCTCCTTTAGAGCATCTTTTCTGGTTTTTCTAGCATTTAGGTGGCTTCTTACTGGAGTCTCATCCCAGTCTTCGCTCTTTGTTCTAGGCTGCCTAGTTGCAGTTTTGTTCCAGCTTTGTACCCTAAAATGAGTTTTATCTGTATTCTGTTGATCCCTTTTAAAAGAATGTGGAGGGGGATGAGGAACAATGATCAGAAGATCCTATTATTTGTTCCAGACAGGATCCTGAATCTGCCATTCTGGGTGGAAGCTTAGCATTCTTATTTTTGCAATTGCTTTGCTTCATTTTTCAGCCTAAGTGCGTGTGCCTCCTATTGAAGGCTGCTGTATGAGTGACTAAATGTTAAGTTATAACACTTCTCAAATGGTATATTTTTGTGCGTGTCTAAGATTATAGCTATCAATGTAAAATTTAGCTGAGCATGCAAATATAAAGAATTGAGGGAAATGTGATAGATTTTTAGTTAGTTATGTTTTTATTTATCTTTAGCAGAGAGTGCATCCTTATTGGGGAGGAGGTCTCTGAAGTTGTCAGCCTGTGCTCTTATATATGTTACTGTAATAGCTTAAATACAACTGTGTTTTTTAATAGGAAAAATGTATTTTTAGCATATTTCATGGAAATAGCAGTCTTGTTTTAACTTAATATATTCAGACTAAGTTGAAAATGGAATGTAAAACTTCAGTTGGCAGCATTTTTGGCAGTATTTTATAGGAAACTAAACCATGGTTTAATACTCTAAAGTGAAGTGCTTTGTAAGTATGGGATGTAGTGCTGCCATCTCATCTGTAAGAGATGTGTAACTTCAACTGGCTGGCAGTTATTTTATTAAATGATCTTTAGGAAGTTTATTTATTTAAAGTCTGCACATTTCTCTGATTTCAATTCTGACACAATTGTCAACTACTTCTGGTTCTTCATTTAGGCTGAACTGGAAGCTTTTGAAAACAGATTAAAAGGGCGAAGAAAGAATAAGAGAAGAAAGGATGAAGTAGAAGTTGAACCATCGTCGTGGCAAAAATACAAGAACCTCATTATGCTGCCAGTGTTTGGAGTTGCTGTCGTGATGGTTGCATGGCTCATGGTCTACAATGACTGAAAACAACTCAATATTTAATATACCTCAGTTGGACTTTAGGTAGCTATTATTCCTAGAATGTTAGTCTCTGTGTAACAGAAATTAATATGCATAGATTATGTATGTATACTATTTGCCAAAAAAGTGCAGAGGAAAAATGTCACCTTTTGTGTTTCTAGGTACACAGCACAAAACTGAATTCAGACACTGAAAGTAATGGTAGATTTTAGTCTACACTGAAGTGCTGATAGTTTGTCTGACTGAGATCTGTTAACATCTCTTCTATTAATAGCATTATTTTTCCTTGTCTCCATTTCATAATATTGACAATAGCTTAGTAAAAAAATGCTTTATTGAATATATGTTTCCTGTAAAATCAGTTTAGTGGTTTATTGAAGGTTAGTGTTCTTATGCTAATCCTTTATGTTGTATCACACAATAATTTCTGTGCTTCATATCAGTTTTAATTATGACAACTAATGGTGAACTTTGGGTTGAATGTTTTGGGGCCTTGTTCAGAGAAAGGAAATGTGAACTGTCTCTCAGTTCAGCTGTGTCACAAACGATACAGTGTCCTCCCCTTACAGACTGTGGGGTTTGCTTTTGTGTTGTTTCCCTCCCCTTCCTGCCCTTGATTTCTCAACATCAAACTAATTAAAAAGTTCATTTAAGTGCACAGACACATATGCTGAACATGGATGTGAAGTATTTTAGGGTACAAGGGTGTGTTCTCATCACTGCCTCAGTCACCAACAGCAGGAAAAGTTTGAAATTGAACTAAGAGTATCACTTGACTGTATAGATAAATGTCACAGTTGGATGTTTGCATGGGTGTGCAAAGCCATGATTAAATAGTGTAACAATAGAGTTATATGTCATTCTGAAGCCATCTGGATGCTTGCTAGTCACATGTAAACTATCTAGTGAAACTTCTAAATGTTTAAGTGTTTTCTCACTGGCAGTTTAGAAGACTTGCTTCAGGTAATTAGTGTTGTTGGTAAAACTGAAAGGCTTTTTATGTAGCTTCAGCATTGTTAGAGAAGCTGCAAATTAAATGCAGGGGCAGGGAGAGATCGGAAAACTGAACTTTTTAAACCTCTGCTGGAAATTTGAAAAAATACTTGAGCGTTGCAGGTAACTGCAAAATGCTTACAAGCTCCTGTGAAAGATGAGGTACAAAGCCAAAAGATGTTAGGTTGCCCTTGTAATTCAGGCATATAATTTCATCACAAATCCTGCAAAAGCAGTGGGATCATTTGTGTCAATTAGTAGAGAAGATTGCAGTTTGCTTCAGAGCTGTTTGGGTTGATTTTGACTCACTTGAAAAGGGACCTAGTACTAATTTGAGCAAAAGGCAGTAGTTTTTCAATTGCATAGATTGACAAAATGGGGAGAGTATCAGTTTCTTTCCAATTTTTCACTGAAGTTTGGTGAATGAGAAGTGAGGAAAACTTGACAATATTTAGCACGGACCGATGCTATTTGAGAGTCTTTTTTGGGTTTTGTTAAATTTACTTTTTAGAGATACATATTACTTATGTGTTGGACCAGTAGTATTTAAAGTTGTAGTATTAATTGAAATTACACTAGACAAAGTTGCATCTCTATTGAATTTTCTTATTTTCTAGTATAAGAAATAAACCACTTTTCTCATTGTTGCTTTAACTTTTTTTCTATAATAGTAATGCCTGGAAGACAATTCCAGATAAAAGTGTGTTTTCTTTAACCGAGTGAGCTGATGCTGTTGTGTGACTGCTTATGCCAGTAGCTCTCCTGTCACAGAGAGAAAAAGAGAGATTTTAGTTCAGCTGAAGTAAAATGTGATGGATTGTCCAAAAGTACAAAAAGATACCTTTCTAGCTGAAATATGCAGATCAACATCAATGAGACCATTGTGGAAATAGCTTTTATCTTACATGACTCTAACTCATTTTGCTATTTACTGGTAGCTTTTTCTTTAAAACTTGTACAATGGAAAGTTTATCCTTGTCTCTGCAGCAAAGGGGAGAAATTTCTCTACAGAGCTATAAAAATGAACCGCGCTTGTTATGCGTTTGAAGTAGTTTTTAGTATTCTTTTCTGCATATTTTGTAATATTTGTGTGAAATACTGGAGAGGAAAAGGCTTCTCATTGATCATTTTTATTATAATAAGAAAGCACAGCAATCTTAAAAGATTCATTCTGTTCATACAGATGTGTGTGAGTAGGCATATTCCCTTTCTTAAAGGACTTGTATCTCTCCTGAACCTTGCATATGCAAGACATACCTGGTTTTGAAATTTTATTCAAAATACTTCTGTATATCTTATCCAAGCATCTGAGTCATTTGCACTCTGCTGGTCTAAATGTCTTCTGAACCCGATATTTATTTCTTGGCATTAAAAAGAGTGTGGGGGTTCAAGCAATCTGCAGTTTAATAAATCACTAGTTTTCTATTTGGTTCTTAAAATTATTTTTGCAGTTAATTGTTTGCTGTTCTTTGGTTGGAGCTGCATGTTGTCAACAACCTTTGAAGTAAAAGGTACAGATAAAATTGCCTGTTATTCAGTATTAATGAACGATGGTAACTCTAGAAAGGAAATATTGAACTGAAGAGAGGCCTTTTTTTAGCAATGTATATATAATATACTGTTATGTAATGTAATGAGCAATATTTTGATATTGACGGTTTGTGAAAAAAATGCATATTAAATATACATTAAATGAAATTATATAATCTGGCCTGCTGTTGAAGGGGACTTAGAGTGATAGAAGCCTGATGATGAGGATAGTTAATCCATTTTGCTATGCGTAAAATTAAAAAACTTGGGGTGTTTCCTGATTCCAGACACATTCTGGTGAGCATTTATCCTTCTGCTGA